AATATCGAACCCTGTGGAGAGAATTCATGGTTTTTTTTTATTGTTTTTGTTAATTGAGAGTTAAAAGTTTCTCGTGCCGAATACATAATATATATGTATTGTATGTATGTGTATAAAATTATACTCTTGAAAACCTAAGAAAATTATCACTAAAAGTATTCCCACAACAACCGGTTCTAAGCTCAGGAATGACTCGGATTTTACCCAACCAAGGACTGTTGTATCGGCGACCTATCCCTGGTTAGGTCTCTTAAACGTTTTTCTGCTCAGGACTGGCATCGAGTCAAACCCTGGGCCAGGCACCTACACCTGCTTAGTATGCCAAAGACGATTACACACAAACTACGTTTCAGTCAGTTGTAATACCTGCACCTCAGAACCTGATCAGGTCTTCGAACTCACCGACAGTGGACCACGTCATTTGTGGACCCGTCCTGTTCTAACAGAACAACCAATACAGTTGCCTCAGCTGTCCCACTAAACTCCGGAGCTGAATCCACGGCTCAGCGAAATTCACATGCGCAACGCAACCCCAAAACGACCACCTTCCAACATAACACAGACACAGACACAATCATACTCCACCTACACGCCGCTGTAACCCAAGAACGAGGACAAACCAACAACTCCTGGTTCCTCACACTGTCCTCGGCGTGTAAACCCAGAATATACTGTAATGTAATATTTGTAAAAAGCAATTCCTGCCTTGGTTGGTGCCACTGCCGGATTATCTTAGCGATAATCTCCGATATATAAATGAGACGCATACATATTTGTTGAGAGAGAATAACAGCTTCAGACTCCCGAAGTATAGAACAGAAGTGGACAAAAAAAATATTTTCTATAAAGGCTTAAAGTGCTTCAATGAATTACAAGAGGCTATAAAAAATTGTGATACTATCACTCTTTTCAAGCGGCTGCTATTTGACTATTGTAGAACGCAGCTTACAAGATAGTGATGTATCAACAATAGCGTGGATTGGAAACTAGGCCTTTCCAACCACCAAGATATCGAGACTAGGCGGATCGGAAACTCGGCCTTTCCGACTACCTAGACCCTTAGATAATAAACAATAAACGAGCGGATTGGAAACTAGGCCTTTCCAACCGTTAACCGTCACGAAAGCGCGACTGGGTGGATCGGAAACTCGGCCTTTCTGACCACCCAGGAGATATCAATAAATGGAGTAACCCAAAAAGAATAGCGCGGATTGGAAACTCGGCCTTTCCAACCGTCTACATAACTTCCAGGAAATTGCATGCGTGTATGATGACATAAAATAATTGCAGTGATAAAGAAATAATGTTATTTAAAAATTTCTGTAGAGCATTTTGTATTTTGTATTTAATATTTGATATTTATATTTTAAATCTAAAATCTAATTATAAGAATGTTAAATCTTTGTTGCAATATAAGTCTAACAGACTGTAAAAAATAAATAAATAAATAAATAAATAGTGTACATATGTTCGCGACTTGATCCACGCAAGAATAGAAGAGCAACTTCCTAGGCCCTTGTTGAAGTGCTGCGCAACCATAACAATAACAACCTCAGGCAATGACAAAGACAAGTTGCTGGCTACATACATACCTTCTGATGTCCCAAGAACACCACCTGCCGGAGTAAGACCAAATGCTATCCGTCAAGGAGCACAACACAATGCTATTTAAACAGTTCCTCGTAGTGTACCACAGACGCGGGCATCATAACAGATACCTGCTTGCAGTAGAGCCCTCGCCTAGGCACGTCAGAAAGCATATGTACGAACTTTCGGACGAAGTCCAAAGTTACGGACGAAGCGAGATATCGGGGGAGGAACTTCGTTTGCCCTGGGAGACCCTCATCAGCAAAGCCCAACTTCCCTCTAGCCCAACGTTTTTGTCGACTTTTATAAATATGTATGTATATGTTATCTATAAACTAATACCGATCGCTGTATTGTTTACTGCTGAACTGCTGACATTTGTCGTTTTACCAGGCTGCCTAGCGCTGTCTTGGAAAAATAAACGATACGATTGCTTTTACATGCGTCCCACGTTTTTTTAATTTAAATCTCATAAATTTTTTGAATTGACTTCTGCAAAAAATTTTTTTAGTCCCTTTATAGAAACGTGGTTTATTTACATTATATTTTTTTATTCGACTTTTTTATACTGAACTGGGTACGAAAGTGGAGGCATTATTCTGAGAAATTATCTTCTAATGGCGTTTTCTTTTATACAAAAAGTGTTGCCTTTTTATTGCCCTCTCTTTACTATTTGTGGGTAGAGCGTATTGGGAAGGCAACATTTGTCGGTAGAAAAGAAACTATTTGTAATGATTTGGCCTTTTCCTTCTCTGACCGGCTTAATTTCATAATAATAAAATAAAATTTATTATAAAGTTCCTTATACATACCTGGGTTTTTTTACAATCATATTTTAAGGGTTAAGTGTCACTATATTGAGTTTACACGTAGTGCATTTTTTTGGTATATTGGCCGACCCTAATTTCCAGCCACAATAGGCCGGGCCTACTGGGCCTTATGGCCACAGGCCGGAACGTTGTTTTACCATCCATTCAAATTTTTCGTTCAACCGTCAGGGATGACATCAGGGCAACAGCAGAGAAATTGTGACTCGAAAACGGCCTATTTCTCCGAACATATGTACATACCCTTGTGGTCAGCTTATTAAGTCAAGTGACATTTTGACTAGTTTTGGCTATTGTTCTTTTATTTATTTAATATTTATATTTTTTTTATAGAATTTAATGAGCTACAAAACTGCATACTGAAAAATTTTCTAAAAATTCGAAATAAAAAGTTTAGAATTTTTGGAAGCGAATGTTAAAGTTTGTTGAATTTTTGCACGAAGCTTGAAATGTGGATTTATGTGGCGCTGGTTAGGTAAAGTGCTACAGTTTTACAAAAAAAATATAAACAATAAATAAACAAAAGAAATATAACCAAAACTAGTCAAAATGTCACTTGACTTAATCAGCTGACCACAAGTGTATATATATGTATGTATGTATGTATGTATTAAACATAAGGTTAAAGAACTGTTAATTATCAAACAAAGAAGCAACGCTTGTGATAATTGTAAATACCGATGTATACCTACAACTAAAAAAACATTTATTCGCAATATATCGCAAAAATACAAAAAACAGCAAAAACCTGTGTACTAAAATAATGAAATGCGAAATGTCTATATGTTTTTATGTTTCACATTATTGCGATCGAACATCTCTAATGGCAAATTTTATTCCGATGAAGTTCTTCCTGCTGCGAATATGATCATTCAGACTTCGGGAACTTTGGTTTTCAGGGTATGTATCTAAAAAAAATCCACGACTTACCCATACGCAGAAGCAATACAATCAAAATATTAAATTTATTTTCTCTATTAAAAACGGACCGAAACGTCTTTGAAATTCCTTAAAAGCGGAGGCTGTTTTCTTATACCGCATCTTGGTTTGATATATGTACATTCGTACTTGCACCTTAGACACTTGCCTTCCCAGTAGATAATTTCGGGAGTTAAAAGCCCTTCCGAAAGGCCTTCCTGAGAGTCAAGAAGCCTTACATTCTGCATTCCTTTCTCCTTTCTATTTTGTATGGAGTGGCACAAACTACCGGCTTCTTCTTTCGTAGCCATGGAAGACCTTCCTTGAAAAGCTCTTATAGGACATACTTCGGAAGGCCTTTTGGAGGAGTTCTTTTAAAGTTGCTTCTTTAATTTATAAAAATCCTACATCTTTGAAGAATTTGCTTAAGGTTTATATCAAATATCTGTTATTGCAACTTAGAATGTTTATTGAAATTCATTTGTAGTGCTAGTTTTAGAAACATAAACAGCTTTGTAATTGAAAATTTAAACTTACATATACGCATACTTTGTTATATATTAAAAATACCTATCTGTACTTTTAAGTCGCAAGACTGTAACAAATAAATAAATAAATAAATATTATAAATTTATGCATTCGCGTAAATTGTAAATGGATGGGCCCTTCTAGAAGGTATTCAAGGAAGCCCTTTTCTCAGACCCTCTTGGATAGGCCTCTTAGAATAGCTTTACTTAAAAAGGCCTACATAAATTATCTTCTGGTTTGTTGCGAAAGTTCCCTTCTTAAAACAGATCTATTATAAAAAAAAAACAACAAAACAAAACAAATGCCAAATTGCAAGTGCGTAAAAACCGCAAACGAGAATTCTGCCAAGGAAAAATAGAATAAAACCATTTTTTTTTATAACAAAATCCAATTGTGACAACAAAAACATTTACCCTCTGTCGACGCTTGCTGACTAATGCTTTAATGATGGTGCAGAACGAGTAAATGGCAACAAACATATCTACATACACACCCATACTTGCAAGTAAACATGTGAATTTGCAGTTGTTGGTTTACTTTTCGAGCAGTTTCTTTTTAGTTTGCGGTTATTCGACGAAATTGAATGCATTCGTTTTGCCTTTCTCCCTTCGGCCCCACGCGAGGTATGCACATAGCTTTACTTTTCTTTCTTCGACCAAAACTTTATTTATGCAAATAAGTACTATGTACATACATTTATATGTTTGTAATCACGTAAACTTACCGACTCCTCCTCCTTCTCCATGCCACTGGGCATTTGCGGCACCGCACGATTTATCGCCGAATACTCTGGCAAATCTGGCAGCTCCTCCGCCAAGTAGATGGGCATCTGCTTGGAGGGATCGAGCGCACGCGCTCGAAATGATAATTTTGACATGATTATTGAGATGTGTGTGTGTGTGTGTGTGTTTGCTGTTTATGGATGCAACGGTGGTTTTTAGTTGATTCGTCTACTGATTTTGTTGATTCTTCTCACACCTTTCTACTTTAATCACCCTGTTGGTTATCCAATATTTGTTTTACAGTTGTACCCAATTGGTTATGGCAAAAACAGCTGTTAATGAAACACGTTTGATGGTTTCGTTGACTGTTTTTTGCTTTCTCTGCTGCTGAGGCTTTTACTAACGAATATTGTTTCCGTAAATATGAAATTATCCGTTTCTACTGTGTGTTGTTTAGACTCGATTAAAATTTAGTTAAGCGTATTTTATGATACCAACACGCAAATTCTGCTGCGGTTTTCTTGGTTGTGACTTTGACTTTCGTTGTTGCACCAAAACGTGTAACGACGTCGATACACCAAAATCACTGTTGGAATGCGTAGACTGCTGATTCTCCTGCAGCAGCGGCGTTGAACTGCTACTGATTAGCCTCTGCGCTGAAGGATTGAAAAACGGCTTGCTGTTGTTGTTGTTAGTCAGGTGTTTGGAGGTAAGTGGGCTGTTGTTGCCGTTGCTATTTGGAGTTAATGTAGGATGCAAGGATGGGTGCGTGAGATCCACAAGCGTCGGTACTATAACCGTCGCGGTTATTTCTGCTTCTTCAGGGGTTGATGATGTGGTGATGTGGCTACTAAGCTGCCTAGTATAGGTGTTAGTATTGGACCGAATATACAATGCTCGTTTTGGACTGTAGCAAACACTGTCTATATTCCGGTTGTGAACGGAGCTTCTTATGCTACTCCTGCAAATGTTCTTGTTTTTGCTTTTATTGGCGCAGCAGCAATCAATTGATTGGTAAAAAGCCTGCTGCTCCTCTTTATGTGAGTACTGTTGCGAATGCCTGTTCCTAGTTATCGGAAGTGGGCAGTCACTTTCACTGCAATTCCAGCTGATGCTGCTACTACTGCAATTGCTGCTGGCGCTGTGCTTGGCAGCAGTTGTGAGCGGTGTGAGAATGTATGTATCAGATGTTTGGCAATCGGTAACAGTGCTTTGATTTACTGACCCTCTTGTAGAAACAGCTGTTGTAGTATTTAATTGGTTTAAGCAGCGGCAGTAACAGTAAGAGTGATCGAGATTTGATGATTTCAGTGCCAATGGATGGTTACAACTATCCTTTTGCTGGTCTTGGTTGTGATGATAAAGGCAAGATCTGTTGTTATTGTTGTTTTTCTTGCTAACGCTTTTATAGATAGCGCAAAGCGTGGTAGACAACAGCGATGTTATCAACAACAAAATGTAGGCGATAAAGTTATTGCAATTACAGCACTGCAGTGGTAGCAACGACAACGACGAGCGGTGCAGCAATCGGATCGACGACATTTTTCACGTTGAAATCGAAGAAATCAAATGAATGGACATAATTACAACGATGACTTTTGCACATTTCATTGCAACATTGTAGTACTTTAATTCTGATTGTTTAAATTTACTATCACACTAATTTGATCCACACTGTTTTTTATGCAGTGCGATTTTCCGCTGTCGCTTTAGCTTTTATTGCTACTTTTGGCTGTACGGGCTAGGTCGTTGTTTACAAATTGTTTGTTTGTTGTTACTCTGCCTTGCCGTTTATTCGCCTTTTTTAACTTTTCCTTTTTAAAAGGCTAACTTTTTAATTCCGCTTCATACTGGTTTAATTTTTTGATTATTTCAATAAATTTTTTACTTCACTCTTCAAAACTCCTTGTATAGATTAAAAGAAAAAATAATAAAATATTTTTTTTTTTTTGTTTTTGTTATTTTCTACATATGTTTTACATCTGTTTCTGAGCGAATTAAACTGACAGCTGCCAGACGGCACAAGGCTGTCAAAACATTTAAGAGCAACCGACAAGGAAGAAGCGTGAAGATATGCATTTTGTTTATAAATTTAATGCGAACATTCTCCACCTTTCAAAAACTCTAAGATTAAATTAGGAACACAGACGTTTTCAGCGCATTTTATTCTGAGTTATTGACTCAGGATGGCATGCAAGATGCTACCGCGATTTTTGAAAAAAAAAAAAGAAAAGGCGGTTGCACTAAAAGTTTTTTCTATATTCATACACAAGCGCCTTGTCAAGCGAACGACGCACTCGGTCAAGACGATAACGACGCCACGCGATATCTCACGGCGAATTCATCAAAACAAAAACTATGCGGCGAATTCACATATGCTCGCTGAGCACCAACGTACTGCTGAAAAAAACACGAAAATTGATGAAAAAACGAGGTCCTCCTAGCAAACAGAAAAATATGCTCGTCATATTTCACACAGCAAAACAAGAAATTTATGAAACAACTATGCAATAAATAAAATTTCCGCTGTATCAGTAACCCTTTTTAATAGCTCCCATAATTTTGTACACTTTAACTTTGCGTTAAAATTACAAACAAAATTTAAGAAATTTGGGAATAGCGTGGTTTTGGCATGAAAGCCATAATGGCGGAAGCCCAGCCGTCGTCGACGTTCTCGGCAGGGATCGCGCGCGCCGACAAGGAAAATATACATACACACCACCGGTTGTCGCATTTACACTCGCATGAATTCAAGTCGATGACAGGCACAAAATTTTTTATAAATCGAACAGAGCCAAGCGGAAAACGCAAAAACTACCCACGGCAAACGATACCAACCGAATCGAGCACGTTGCCGAACTCCGAATTGAATTGATACAATTTAAAGCTACCATTTTCAACTCTTTCGCGCACACGCTCATTGGGTTGCGGAAAAGTAAAGTTCCGAAAATAATCAACACGGGCGTACCTACTCGCACCCAACTCCGAATTTTCGAAATCAACTGCGCCGCGCAAGCCATCCAGCAGCCGTTACAAACACTACCCCACCCATGCACCAATACCGACACGTATAGTGAATCGTTTTGCTATACCGACGTACCAGTTCCGCGCTCGCGCTACCGTATCGTATCTACACACGACAGCGCCTCCAGCCAACAACCTCACACATACACCCATCACTCCTCTTCAAGAAGTTTGTACGAGTCAGCTAGCTACCTGGCCTAAACACAGTTCGCTTGCATATACAACACACAACCGTATCGTAACACGAAACGCCATATGCGCCCAAAAATCATATTCACTACCGACCTCTCATTCGCACCGTATCTAGACGGTATGCGCCCGAGCGAGAAACAAAAACAATGACCAGAGATTGTCGGATCGGGTAAATGGCGAGCACCAGCAAAATTTTTTTTCACCAAAATCGATCAAATTCGATTAATGCATACTTTTTTTCACAACGTGTTTTCTCCACTTAAACTATCCAATTTCACATATTTTATACGCAAAATACTACGCGCGATTGTTTTTGTAAATTTCTAATGAATTTTGGAAATATTTTCCACTTTTTGCGTTAAAATTCGTTGCCAATTGTGCAACGACACGAGTTTTTCACAGGGGCACGTTCTTCACTGAACGTAATGGCGGCTCGGGTAAAACGTTTCCGAATGTTTTCGGAGTTGCTACGCAGCTTGCGAAACAACGAAAATTAAGACACTTCATTGAGGGGCATTAAACTTTGTTAAAATCACATGCGAGTGCAGAGAAAAATTGCCAAAAATTATAGATATTTGTTGGTGTGATTTACCCGATGTGTCAACAAAGTTTAAGTATGAAATTATTAAAAAATTATAATCGCCAACATTTGCTACTGGTGGTGGGTGTTCGAAATAGTCTATTCAGCGCCAGCGAGTGTGTTCAACTACAGGGTGCCGCAAAGGATAGAAAATTAATTTAAATTTTGCAGAAATTGTTGCGTATCTAAAAAATTAAAGGGATATCAAAGCAACACCTTTAATATAATAACCCTGATCCAGGACACCATGAACTTACAGGTTTTTACACGAACTTGCAGGAAGTTACAGAAAAAATGATCCCATACTCCAAAATCCTGTAAATGAGAGCGATTTTTGGAGAGTTGTGTAGAGAATGAAGTTGCAAGATTTGACCCGAACTTTTTCTTGTGGTAAAATCAGGGAACATTTAAGAAGATTGTTAAGATTGTTAAATGTTCTCTGGTAAAATCATGAAAAGTGTCAAGCGATCACTGGTTGACGTTTTTACAGGAAAAATACTTTTTTGTATCCGTACTTTTTGTTGTTACTCACTTTTTACTCTCACTTCAGGGAGTAATTTCGATATAAATTTTTGCTTTCAAGTCGAGAGGGAACTTGAAAGTCAAGTCTGATCACAGTTAGTCTGTTCCCGTACTTCGGGATTTAGTCAAAAATAGCCAGAAAGATGTTATTGAATTTATTATAAATATGTGTACGGAAACGAAGCCAGAATTTTACGTTGTTGCCTCGATGACGGCATCTTGAAAGTTAAATTAGCAAGCAGGAGTTTTTGGGGAGTGGTGCTGGAGTGGCAGTCCTTGCCCAGATGTAAATGTTAGTCGTTCCGGTTACGTATGTCCGGCTTTCGTGGGATCATGGGTTGTTGTTGTTGTANTTTTTTTGTGGTTAGAATAATAGTGCTTAACCCCCCAGGGATAATGCCATGCACCGACCTCTTCGTCATGTGAGTCGGCAATCCTGAAGTTTAGGGTCGTCGCGTTGGTGGTGCGTTCGAAGAGGTGTTGGGCGTAATCTATTATTATTACGTCGGGTATATTCATGCTGCGACCTAAAAAATATCTACTGTGCTTAAGCCTGATTGTAATCACTCTAACACCCTCACGGCTAAGTTGAAGGAGTCTTTCGGAGTTCCTCCAGGAAGGAGTTATGGATGTCTTTGATTGTCTCATTCCCTTTGACTTCCGCGAGTGGCCAGCACTCTGAGAAATTCTTCCTAGCTCCTAAGTAGCTTTGCATTGCGCGGCGCCAAGCGCATGAGACCAAGGCTTTCAATGTTGCCTGGTTATTCGACATAGTATTTATTCTGGCACTAAAACATCCGCGAACGCAGACTTCGATTGTGAA